ATATTTGAGAAAGAATTTGAGTGAGGCATATATGATACACTTCTGTACTCGAGAGTTTATGTCATTCAAAATAGCCAAGTTAATAGTTGAGGTGTGTCCTTGTGATCATTGAATTCTTCTTGACTTGATTGATTGGTTTGAGATTAGTCTTGGTTGAACCGTTGTCCTTGCTCATTTGTATATTTTCCTTTTCTTTTCTTTTCCTTTCTTTTTGTTCGGGACGAACAAAGGTCTTAGTGTGGGGGAGTTGTTTGTCCCATTTTTGTTGCTATTTTTGTTTGTGTTTTGCATGTATTTTCCCCCGTTTTAGGTCGTTTCTTAGGTGTTGCCGGTCCGTCTAGTCGTTTCTCGTGTTTTAGTGTTATTCAGGACGAGGTTGATTTATATACTGCGAGTGTTCACACTAGGGGCGGTACCGTAATTAACCAACTCTTTAAGTGTGAACGCAACAAACCAAGTAATTACGGTACCGCCCCTAGTGTGAACACTCGCAGTATATAAACAACCTCGTCCTGCTTGGTGTTTTCTTTGTATTTTCTCCTATTTTTCTCTTGTTTTTCATGTGTGTTCGGTTTTGGTGGTTTCAGGTTGTTCCAGTTATCAAGTGTTCGTCCCCAGTTCATGCGACCAAACACGCAGAGGTCGAGTTTCCAGCTCGGGCCGTACCCGAGTAATGCTAGCCGAGCACGCGAGCCGAGAAAAAGCCACTTTTTGGACCGACAGGACCTTAGCGTCGCTAAGGCACACAGGATAGCGTGCTACACGGTACAGGCTCGAACGACGGCACCTTAGCGCCGACAAAAACAATTCTTATGTGTTACCAGCAGATGCTATTTCGACGGATTTTTGAATAGAGGATATTAGAAGTCGAGCTAGGGCAGTTTTTCTGCATTCTTGAACATTGCATTTTCGACTTTTGCACTTCAAAAACTCATTTTTCACTTGGTTTTGCTTAGATTTCAATCTTGGATAGTGAAAACTCCAATATTAGACTTTGGATTTGGATTATTCGTGGATTTTCGACATTGGATTCGTATTTAATCGTAAGCCTTCTTTGTTTTTTTCGTTTTATTTATGATTATGATGGCTTGGATTGATGTGTATGTTGATGTTGAATTGATGATGAGCAGCTAAATTCGTCAACTAGGGTTAGGGGATAATTGTTCCGGTTCAATTTCGTTTGTATGAATGTTGATTACTCAATTTATTCAAGTTGTGATAATCCTAGGGTTGAATGACTGATCACCATTTTAATCCACTAAATCGATTCTTACAACCGAAAGGGGGGGAATTGATCGACTTAGGCTCGTTTAGAGTAGACTTGTTCGTAGACGTATTGTCTATGTGCTAATTGATTCGATGATGGTTCGTTTATGTTTATTCTCTTGTTTCGTGAGTTATTGAGAATGAATCTCTAGATGAATTGGTTTTTCGAGCCCTTTAGCCGAGTAGTTGATTGCCCGTTAAATGTATTGAGAACCAGAAACGATTGTCCCCGATGCCCTAGTCCTTTTTACAATTATTTGAATCTTGTTTGAAGTTGTGTGATCGAAATTGTCTTGTTTGAGAATCAGTAGTGGTTAATCTAGTAGCTCATAATCGAAACCAATCAATTGAATTAGAGTGTTTAGGACTTGTTTTATCTTTTCGTGTGATTGAATAATCGTGCAAATTAATCTGGCTAACCTTCCTTGAGACACGACCCGGTGTTCGAATCTTTCGATTCTACTCCGGTAAAGATATCTACAATATTAGCATTCTTGTAGTTAATTGATTTTTGTTTCTTAATTATTTAAAAAACTAATATTATTATTTTAATTTGTGTGTGAATGATAACTTAATTTGTAGTGCCCTTAAAAGTTTGATATATCAGATAAACCATTTTATACATTGTAATTTATTTTCAATATCATAATAGAAATGTTATTAGAAAACTTCTCCAAAAAGTGTTTTAAAATGTTTTTTTAGACTTTTATGACTTCACTTCGCTTCGAAAAGTTTGTTGGGGAGAAAAAAAGAAGGGAGTTTCCTTGTTTGAATTGACTTAATCTGAATGAGAGCCCGGAGATTACTTTCATTCCAGATTTACTTGAGGTGAAATTTAATATTGTTTGGTCGAAATAAAAGGCGATTACAAATTCAATGATGTTATTATATAGAGATAGTTCTTGTATTTAGAATAAAATTAAAATTGGCCCCCACTCAATTTATGAGCTGGATCCGCCCCTGATGGCTTGTGCATTGTTCCATTACATTGCCACATAGCCACAAAAATCCAATGTGGCATGTAAAATTTCTAGAAGTCTTTCTAGATGTAGAAAGATTTCTAGACATCTTCTATCTATATTATATTATTTATTTTATATATTTCTCTCCACCAACTAATTATTTTCTTACACATGTCAATTTATTTTACAATTGACATTCACCATTAGAGACAAACTATTTTTATTTTTTTTCTCCACAACATACATATCAAAATAGACATTGTACCATTGGAGATGCTCTTATGATGGCGATTGAAGATGTTTGAGAGGATTAGGGTTGTAAGAGAAAAATCACTTGGGCTCAACAAAAGAGCTATTTGGGCCATAAAAATGGGTTGAAAAATTAATGCATTTGGACTAGTTTGTACACTAAAGATGGACCGAAAAATAATTAAGTTCAAAAGGAACAAACTCTGGCTAAATAAAGTGGGTCGAGAGACGTTTGAACTTGAGATCGAAAACGAACGATTTCCGATTCTAGAGGCTCGATTACTTAATCCGATAATTAAAACGACGCTCGGAAAATAAAATATGACAATCGGGAAAAATTAAATAATAAATAAATACGGCAATATATATACTATCACATATATCACATAATAATATACATATAATCCACATAATAATATCACACAATTCATACAAAAATATCACCTAGGCACTTAATTCAATTAAATAATATTTATGCCAGTAAAGCAATATTCGAAAATCCCAATAATCAAACGACGTAGATTCGAATTATGCAATTAGACCGAAATCGCCGAACGACGAATGTTTTAAAATAAAACGATCGAGTACTACAACATATTATTTAGGTCGACATCACGACCATTAAAATAAATATAATCTCATAAATAATCTTCGATCAATAGAATAATCTGAGAAATTTTATAAATCGAACGGGGCACTACAAATGTAGAAGCATACACCAGATGTGCTCTTTCTATACTTATCTACTAGGCTCATTTGCTTTGTACAAACAATGTGGGACAACTCACCCTCTCACTTGTGAGTCTTTCGTAATCTCAAGCCCAAAACAGGCTGGGTAGAGATATAGAGCCCAAGCCCAGGGCAGGCCGGGTAGAGAAAGTCATTGCAGGTCCTAGGACAGGCCCACTCTGATAGCATATTAGATTTATAGAATGGGGGGAAGAATCCCACCATATGAAGCGCACCATAAGAGTGTGAGTCTAGTTGCACCTTAGTGAGATTCCATCTCAAAATCAATTGGTGACGGGAAGAGTAGCCCACTAGACTTATACTCATTTGCCTTGTACAATCAATATGGACAACTCACAAGTGATATTCTAACACATTGTAATCTTATTGTGTGTCTTTCTCTTGTATTTTGGCTGAGAGAGTCTTAAAGGAGGATTGATGATTCAATGCCCCGAGAGTTTTCACCTCATGTCTCTTTGCAAGAGGTGAAACTCATTCTAACTCGTTGGTTAGTTAGTTGTATTTACTTTGAGTAGAATGAATTTTTATGTTTATCTTGAAAAACAAAAAACAAAAGATACGGATAGTCGAAACTGCTAGGCTTGGTCCGTTTAACAGATGTCGTAATTGGTTTCAGATAATTGAATATCGTCCTTCAAATAACAATAGAATCATCATATTTGTGCTAATTGATATCGGATAATTGAATATCATAAATAACCTTATCACCCTGTTTGCCTTTGAGTTCCTTAGGGGGTGATTGTTTATGAATTCATCTAGAAATTAATTGGTTTTTTTTAACTATAGTTACTTTTGAAAAAAGTTGGTATGGTTAGTTGTTAGTGGATATATTAAATAATATTTAAAATAAAATAATTAAAGTTGATACGATGTAAAAGTAAGAGAAAAATGATTAGAAATGGTGGTTAGTTAGAATTATGTGAGAAGATGAATAGTGAATTAAAGTTGATGTGATGTGTAATAATGATTGGTTGATATTATTTAATTATATTGATAATATTGGAGAAAGTGGAGTTGGGTTAAAGTTGAGTTAAATTTGAGTTTTGATTGGTTTTTTTCTAGGCGAGTTGACCAATTTCATTTCTAACATCTTTTTATAGATGAATACAAAAAGAGAATTACCAAACCATTTTAAACCGGCAAACCACATAAAAAATAAGTGAGATTGGATATAAAATTTTGTCAAAAATTATCTCGTTCAAAAAAGTGAAGTGAAATAGTAAGAAAAAAAAAATTGTTAGAATAATAAAATAAATTTGAAATTGTGCATAAATGTGATAAAAATAAAATCATCAAAATTTATGCAACATAAAACTAATAAAAGATTGATCGGGTAGATTGACAGTTCAAAAGATGTGATTAGTGAATAACATTTTTTGTTGAAAAATACAAAATAATGATTAGTNATGGCGCACACAAGTGGGTTTGATTTTTCATTTCAATTAAATAAATCTCGGCTGAACAAATAAAAATCGCCCCAAAATCTATCCAGTGCCTCGTAGGAGAAAGAAAGCAATTTTATCTCCATTTAACCAAAACCAGAGAAAAAAGGTGAAAAGCTGATGCTGTGTGTCACTAAAACCAACCATGAAAGGAAAGAGTTAAGTTCCAGCCAAAATCTAACCACGAAATTGAGGCATTACTACAGATGGCAGTACAAAAGCTAAGCGCACAATTACCACAACATTCTATTTCAAATTCCCAATGCCTGGAAGAGGACTATTCATGCTTTGCTTGGAGTTGTTTACCCAATTCAGATAATTTGGAACCTCTCTAGCTCTCCTTGGGATCAACCTTCTCACCTTCTGAATGTGATATTTTTTGGGGTGGCGGCTCAGAGCATGCCCTCAAAACAGCCTCATTCTGTAAGGAAGCAATCCTCATTCATTTAACACATTAACATCATAAACAGATTCCACAAAAACCTCCTCCACCAAAGTAAAAACAGGGGTAACAAGAATAAGTCAAATTTACAACAAGACACAAGTCATTGAGTGCCGATTTATAACAATCATTCTAAGGAAGTTTCATGTGATTACATTTACATGTTGGCCTTGGATTCCCCAAATTTTACGTATAACTTGATTAAATTAATACTTACTGCTAATTCCTGAACATACCCAAGCATTCATGCTGCCTGTCCACTTTTACTAAGCTTAAACAACGAGATATTATCACATTACCTCAAACTCCGGATTATCTGTTGCCTCCGAATAAAGAAAAAAATACGTCTAAAATCACCACCAGAAATTCATAAAAAAAAATAAAAATATATCAAGCATTGCTACATGCAGAACAATGTCACTTGAATTAGCGTACAACCTGAGCTGAGGTTGATTTTGGACTCGGAAGTAATTTTTAAATGGCAAGACTTTCAAGCCCTAGAACTACTTGTTGATTCAAGTGAAACGGGCCACATTGAGCATTTAGCATTTCCTAAAGCATCAAAACAAACGTCACCTGGGTCCAACTAAATTTCATCCCTGAGTCGAGTGTGACACGCACTTTAGCTCAATTGCATAGATGCCATAAGGCACTTACACTTGAAAAGATGATGGAATACAAAAGCAAGATAAATTGTATTACGAAGAAATTTAATACCATTGCCAAGCTTTGATCTTCGTTATTACGGGAGATTATTTTAACAATCTGTCACTTTAACTATAATTATGACAGCAGGCATTGAGCCTAAACAGAACCATCTGTTTCTCTTACTATATTTCTAATAGTACCATGTTATGTTCTTTGATGTAACTTCTAGCAGCTTCAATAGCAAGGAAATCAATGGAATAATTTCTACAGCAAGATGCAGAATCATCTGTCAATAACTGAATTTAGTTTATTCATCCAAGATTTGAATAGTTCCATGATAATCTAAAAAAAAAAGTTACCAATACAGATTGAATCAGCCTCATCATGAACTCATCCATGCTATGGACAATAAAAATCACTTGCTACAGTAGAGTTCTAAACAAAAGAAAAACGAGTACATAATATTTGGACTTCAGTACACTAAAATACAATAGGAACCATCGCACTAATATAAGTTCTCCCATTACAAAGATATAAAAAGAACAGAATTAGAAGACAAATAACAGGGTATGGAACCAAAGAAAATGAATGAATGAAAAGCCAGTCTCCCACTAAACTTGAGACAAGCAGTTTTTCTTTCTCAAACGCCTTAACACCACACAGGAATTCATTTATGTTTTTAGCAAACACCAGAACAATATACAATATGGTAACACTTGTAACAACAACACAAAAAAATAATCTTTCGCGGAGCTAACGCTAACTATTTTCAAATGATGAAACTTGTAAGCCTCGGCAATAACTCTCGATTAGTATTTAAATCGAACAGTTGGCGTGCTATGTACTTTAGTTTGCAACCCCTAATAATATTCTTTTTCTAACTCTCAATTAAAAGACCCAAGCAGCAAAAATCACATAAGAAAACCAAAACTTTCAGCAGAAACACAATCGGATGGCCGATTTGTTCTAGATTTAGAATGTGAAATTCATAGTAGTACCTGCCAAACGCGACGGAGGCGTTTTTTGGCGTTAGCTTTGCGGGTGGGCGTGAGCTTGATTCTCTTCCAAAGGAGGCCACCGGAATCGTGTTTCTTCACTATCTGCAGTACTCTGGTTCCCCAGAATGCACCCCAAGCCGTCGCCATTGTCTACGTGTTTTTTACTTTGTTGATTGCACAAGCAAATGGGAATTTGTTGATAAAGAAGCTCTCGTGGGCTCTTTGGATCATTTGAAGTTTCTAATTTGGGATTGGGCCAAGTCCACAATGTGGTTTGTTTTTTTCCCAATAATGAAAGATTTATTAATATTTGGATTAATACAAACTAAGAAATAAAAATAGTTTGATTTATCAAGAGTGGTTTCTTCCGGACATAAGATTTTGGCATTGGTTGGTGTTGTAGTTTATTTTACTGGAGTAGAATCAAAAGATTCGAACACCGGGTCGTGTTCTCAAGGAAGGTTAGTTGGACTATTTTGTACGTTTATTCGATCACAAAAATGAAAATAATTCTAAACACTCTAATTCCATTTATAGGTTTTGATTATCAACTAGTGAAATGAAAATAAGCTATTTAAATGTAGTAGCTAGGAAATACAATTCAAGATGATTAAATATTGTTCAAATATAAATAAATAAACTAGGGTATCGGGGACAATCGCTTTCGGTTTTACATAAATTTGACGATAGTCAACAACTCGGTTAAAGGGCTCAATTAATCAACTCATTTAGTGGTTTTACCTCACTAACTCTCGTAATATGCGGAAAAATATCAATGAGTAAATCAACGAGACAATTAACACATAGACAATACGTTTCCGAACATGTCCACTCTAAACGAGCCAAGTTCTACCAATTTCGCCCCTCTCGGTTTTGAAATTGATTGTTTAGATTAAAATGGTGATCAAGCATTCAATCGTGAAATAAGTAAAACTCGTAAAGATTGAGTAATTAACATACACATAAGTAAGAATGAACCGAAACAATTATCCCCTAACCCTAGCTAGAAGATTAGTTGTTCATAATAAGTTTAACATAATCATTCACATTAAAACAAGCCATCTTTAATATAGGTAAAATGAAATAGATAACTTACTTGTAATGAGAAATCCACAAGGGCAAATGCAAACTTAATCCAAGTACAACAATGTCTTCAATACAAACCACAATACAAACTTAGGAAAAACTTAGGTAAAATGAAGGAAATTCTTGAAGAAGAACTATGAATCAAAGTGTTGGATTCCCCTAGATGGAAATGGAGGGTGTTCTTATAGTGTTTTGCCCCAAATTTCAGATGCAAATGCCCCAAAACATGCCCAAAAATCGCCACTATCATCCACTAAGGAGAAAAAGAGGGGGAAAAGCCACAAAACCAGCAAAATCCAGGTCTCGCGGCCCGCGACGAAGATGATCTCGCGGCCGCGACACGCTTTGCGGCCCGCGATGAAGGTAACTTCGCGGCCGCGACTTCAGCGAGCAGAAAAATGTGTTCCTTCGCGGCCCGCGACATCCCTCGCTACCCGCGACCTTACTCGCGGCCCGCAACTTCCCTCATGGCCAGCGACGAATGAACTTTTCGATTCATTGTTTGGGCTCGTATGCGCTTATCTGGACTCGGAATTGACTTCCGTTTTTTGCTACGTGTTGCTCACGAACTCCTCTATTTATTCATGCTTCCAAACCAATTTTTCCTTGAAAAGAGTACTCGCCCGAACTTCCAACCTACCATCATAAACGACAAAACACGAAACATAAAACAGAAAAAATATACGAAAAACTCACAAAGACTCAAATGAGAAGAAAACACATACTCAAACACTAAACGAACTAAAAATGAAAGAAACTACCTAAAATGGCAGAAAAGAAAGGTAAAATAAACACGAAAAATATAACAAAAATGGGACAAACAGTTGGCATTGTTCCCATGAGATTTATGATAAGTTTGATTTATAAAGAGCGGTTTCTTCTGGTCGTGGATCGGGTAAGATTCCTTTATTCTTCATTTCTTCGTATATGGCAGCATGCTAATGGAATACACACTCTTATAGTAGGTCGTCGCCTTTCTTTGCCTTTCTCGGGCTTCTTTGATGTGGGCTAATCGAGATTCTTTGCCTTCCTAGGTTCGGTGTACGGGAACATCTTTGGATTTTGAGGGAACCAGGGGCCTATTTAGATACAGACCAATGTGGGCCTAGGCTGAGAAATAAAATAATAATCCATGACCTAGGTACCCTTAAGACTAAAGAAATAGCTTAATACATCATTAATAAAAAAAATAATAAATATTAAGAACCAATACTGATGGGTCTACTTCCAGATCTGGAGTAAACCAGTTGTTGTGAGCTCCGATCTGTTTGAACTGCCTTCAAATCGTTGCTAGACCACCGCAAACACCTGCAAGAACCCAACGCCGGGAGAGGTCCCGGCGTCGGGCCTCCGACGCTCAAGTCAGTAAACAGAGGAGAGGAAGATGAAGCTCTGTGATCTAGAGCTGTGATACATGTAGAAATGCATAGAATGTGGGGGAGAGAGCTGCTCTCAGAGAGTAGTAGCAGCAGCAGAGAGATGGAAAGTGTATAGAAGGAGTAGAGGTTAGGGTTTAGGGTTACCTCATCCCCTTTATATAGAGGGAACTACATGCTTGAAGTACCCAAAATGCCCCGGTCGGTTTACTTGAAGTGTCCAAAATACCCTGGACGGTTCGCATTCCATCTACCTCCTAGTCAGCTCAAGATTCTTTATTATCCAATTATTGCCACTAGATCATGCTCTTGTAGTCACAGAGATGTCCAGTAGCAGAGAGGACTAGTAGCGGAGACCTCTAGTCACGGAGACGTCTAGTAACGGAGGCTAGTAGCGGAGACCTCTAGTCAAAGAGACCTCTAGTCGCGGAGACGTCTAGTAGAGAAGACGTCTAGTAGCGGAGACCTCTAGTCATGGAGACGTCTAGTAGAGAAGACGTCTAGTAGCGGAGACCTCTAGTCACGGAGACGTCTAGTAGAGAAGACGTCTAGTAGCGGAGGTCTAGTAGCGGAGACCTCTAGTCACGGAGACGTCTAGTAGAGAAGATGTCTAGTAGCGGAGGTCTAGTAGCGGAGACGTCTAGTCACGGAGACGTCTAGTAGAGAAAACGTCTAGTAGCGGAGAGCTCTATTCACAGGGACCTCTAATAGCGGAGACCTCTAGTAGAGAAGACGTCTAGTAGCGGAGACCTCTAGCAGAGATGATGTCTAGTAGAGAAGATGTCTAGTAGCGGAGAGGTCTAGTAGCGGAGACCTCTAGTCACGGAGACGTCTAGTAGAGAAGACGTCTACTAAGTCGAGATGACCTCTAGCAGGTCGAGATGACCTCTCGCAAGTCTAGCAAGTCGAGATGACCTCTGGCAAGTCTAGCAGGTCGAGATGACCTCTTGCAAGTCTAGGAGGTCGAGATGACCTCTCGCAAGTCCAACAGGTCGAGACGAGTTTAGCAAGTCGAGATGACCTCTGGCAAGTCTAGCAGGACGAGATGACCTCTCACAAGTCTAGCAAGACGAGATGACCTGTAGCAGGTCTAGCAAGTCGAGATGACCTCTACTTATCTTCTTAGAGCAGCTCGAACTTCTCATACTCAATCACAGAGAGCATGTCTACTTCTCATACTTAGTCGTGTGGAGCTTCTCATACTCAGTCACAGAGAGCATGTCTACTTCCCATACTTAGTCGTGTGGAGCTTCTCATACTCAGTCACAGAGAGAATGTCTACTTCCCATACTTAGTCGTGTGGAGCTACTCATACTCAGTCACAGAGAGCATGTCTACTTTCCACACTTAGTCGTGTGGAGCTACTCATACTCAGTCACAGAGAGCATGTCTACTTTCCACACTTAGTCGTGTGGAGCTACTCATACTCAGTCACAGAGAGCATGTCTACTTCCCACACTTAGTCGTGTGGAGCTACTCATACTCAGTCACACAGAGCATGTCTACTTCTCATACTTAGTCGTGTGGAGCTACTCATACTCAGTCACAGAGAGCATGTCTACTTCCCATACTTAGTCGTGTGGAGCTTCTCATACTCAGTCACACAGACCTTCAAGTCTCTTCTAGACCTCATCAGGTCGCTCTTCTTCGGCTTCACTTGGACCTCTTCGTACTTGGCTCTGGTTCACAAGTACGGCTATATCATCTAGTCCCCCTCGAACATACTCTATTGCGATTCGTGCTATAGAGTAAGACTAACAGTCCAAAAGTTCTGACATCTGATTTAATGTTGCTAGCAAATATCTATTTGCAATATGTTGATCTGCTCCCTTTGATTATGTGTTAAGTCGAGACGACCTCTAGCAAGTCTAGCAGGTCGAGATGAGCTTCCAGCTCTTCCTCTGTCTAGTCTAGATGAGCTCTTGCTACGCTCTTGTTAAATCAAGACGACCTCTAGCAAGTCTAGCAGGTCGAAATGAGTTTTCAGCTCTTCCTTTGTCAAGTCTAGATGAGCTCTTGCTCCTATCTTGTTAAGTCGAGACGACCTCTAGCAAGTCGAGATGAGCTTCGAAATCCTCCTCTGTCAAGTCTAAACGAGCTCTTGCTCTGCTCTTGTTAAGTCGAGACGACCTCTAGCAAGTCTAGCAGGTCGAGGTGAGCTCTTGCTCCTCTCTTGTCAAGTCGAGATGAGCTCTTGCTCCTCTCTTGTCAAGTCGAGATGAGCTCTTGCTCCGCTCCTGTCAAGTTGAGACGACCTCTAGCATGTCTAACAGGTTGAGATGAGCTTCCAGCTCTTCTTTTGTCTAGTCTAGATGAGCTCTTGTTCCGTCTTTTTAAATCGAGACGACCTCTAGCAAGTCTAACAGGTCGAGGTGAGCTCTTGCTCCTCTCCTGTCAAGTCGAGATGAGCTCTTGCTCCTCTCCTGTCAAGTTGAGATGAGCTCTTGCAACGCTCTTGTCAAGTCGAGACGACCTCTAGCAAGTCTAGCAGGTCGAGGTGAGCTCTTGCTCCTCTCATGTCAAGTCGAGATGAGCTCTTGCTCCTCTCTTGACAAGTCGAGATGAGCTCTTCCTCCTTTCCTGTCAAGTTGAGATGACCTTTAGCAAGTCTAGCAGGTCGAGGTGAGCTCTTGCTCTTCTCTTGTTAAGTCGAAACGACCTCTAGCCAGTCTAGCAGGTCGAGAT